CCAGCTCCGGTGGCAAAATTTTGCTTTGACTTTTGGACACAGCTTCGAGTTACAACCAGAAAAAGGCAGGGAAAAAAGGTGGGGAATTCAAATTGCTAACCGTTAGTGGCAAAGAGGCTGCTTCTTTGTAGCTCTTTCACCCCAGCGGTTAGAGAGTGTGCGATCGGAGGAGGCTTCGGACTGCCTGGTAAGGAGAGGTGCTGCTTTCTACTTTTTAAAAACTGTTCTGGGTGGGTTTTGCAGCGTAGTTTTTGGCTGGGTCGAGGGATTGTGTTTCTATGCTGTTATGGGTCTTGCAGGGTTTGTTTGATTTTAGGGTTTTTTACCCCATTTCCAATGGGTCTTGTGAGGTTTGTTTGCTTTCTGCTTTGCTTCTTTTGCATTTCCAATGGGTCTTGCAGGGTTTGGTTTGTTTGCATTTCTCTCCCCCCCCCCCGAATTTGGCTGGAACAGATTAATTGCATTTCCGATGGATCTTGTAGGGTTTTGGGGTTTTTTTTGTTTTTTTGTTTTGTGATTTTTTATTTCAGCCGGAACAGATTAATTGAATTTCAATGCATTCCTATGGGAAATGGTGCTTCAACTCACGACCATTTCAAGTTACGACCGGACTTCCCGAACCAATTAAGTTCGTAAGTCGAGGCACCACTGTATAATGAAGAATGAAGAATGACAACTAAGGCTAAGCCCACATTTCTCAGTAGTGATTTTTTGTGTGAATGTTCCAAAAAGTTTCTTTTCTTTATTCCACTAAGACCTTCTATAAGTAGATGACTTTGCATTTTGTTTCTTCAAAGAAAATGGCCCTAAATGGTTTGGGACCTTGATATCTGGCAGTATGTCTCCTTCTGACTTTATCTGCCCATCCTATAAGATCTTTCCAGGCCAGACAGCTGAGAATCCTGACCCTGAGAAAGGCCTGGAAAACAATGGCCAGAAACTGGGCCTTCTAAGTGGTCACCCTACAAATGTGGAACAGTCTCCCACCTGAAATTTATCTTGCCCCTTCACTGGGAACATTCAAAAGATCTTGGGTATTCATTTGATATAGTTACTAGTTTCAGTGGCAGCACAATTATCTTTGGAAAAGTGAAATACATACATGAGACATTTGCCTTCAGAATGCAAAATGCAGGGACAAAGAAAAAAACCCTTCATCTAATAGATCTGACTGCAGAGTCAGAATTCAGGAATTCAATTCCTCACTGTGCCTTATAGAAGAAAGCCAGCCTATGTAGCTTTGGGCAAGCTACACAGTCGCAGAGCACCTCCAGAAGAATGAAACAATAAAGCAGTGTGGTGTAGTGTACATACTGCTGGACTAGGAAACCTGGGTTCAAAACCCTCCTGTCTATAGAAATGTACTGGGGAGGTAACAGTAAACTGTTTCCTGAAAACTTTATACTTTTTAAAATTAGGGTCAATGTAATTTGAAAGTGACTTCATGGCACATAACAACTCTTCCAAGCACATCATACTAAGAAAATGGTTCACTTCATAATCTCTATTCAGTCATTTCCTACTCTTGTAAGATCACCACATTCAGAGGAGAGCAGCTGGTCCCTTTAATCTCCACTGCTGCTATCTACACATGCAAAGGTGTAGACAGCTACTGTGGAATATATTCCTGGGAATATATTCCTGCTCAAATACAGGCTCTACATGTGAACGAGAAGCCTTCAGGAATAAAGCACGGCGAGCTTTCCATTGTTCAATCACTAGAGCGCTCACAGGGGAAAGCAAGTTGACAGAAACTTGGAATGTGGGAAGCATGGTCGCTCTTTGGTATAAATTCCTTTGTGAATCCCTAATAGGTGCAGCTGTAAGAGAACTCTTAGCAATAGCTTGAATGTGGCAAATGTTATACTCATCAGTCACGTCTTGTAAATCATCATAACGTTCATTCTAGTCAAATATTTATGAAGAGGTTATTTAAAGGTTCTTCTCTGTGTTGCCTTCCCCCCCCACCCCCAACAGAAGTGAGGCAGCTTGTAGCTACAGATGGTCACTGGAGGTGGTGGGATCTCACTAATTGAACTCTCACCTCAGGAAGATGCCTTTAAAACTTTTGCTCTTATAGTTCAAGTATCAAGGTGAGATTCTTTTCCTTCACTCAGGCAGTAGGTGTTTAGGTTTTAATTTTTTTTTATTAATCTTGTCCTGCTTGGCTGGATAGTTTAGTGAGTTAGGTTTGTGGCTGTAGAACCAGATGTTGAGAGTTCCATTCTCCATTGTGCTCCCTCAGAGAAGAGCCAACCTTGAGCACATTACATAGTTCCAGAAGAGCCCCAGAAAGGAATGGTAAACTCCTTCTGAGTATTGTACACCTGAGAAGGGTCACGATAAGTCAGAATTGGCCTGATAGTACACAATTATTATTATATTTTTACTCTGCTGCTTTTAGGTGTGTTCGTATGCATTTTACCCCTTTATTATTATTCTTAACTATTTAGTCATGCTTTGCCTGTTATTCCACCTAACTGGTTCAATTGCTATCCATCTATAATAATAAAAGTGGGTGTGGGTGTGTCTATTTGTCTCTGTCAAAGTTTCATGACTGAGAAAACCTGACACTTGATAACACTACACAAATCTTATGCAGGTGAATCTCAAAGTTACAGTATTTTGTTTTGAAATAGATTAATTAATTTTAGTTCATGGACATATGTTTGTAGTTTTCAGTACCCCTTTCAGTTACTTGATGAGAAACTTCTCTAACCCTTTTTAAGAGCAGATAAAAGCTGCAGACAGTCCTGGGATACTCCTTTCTTCGCAGGGTTTCTATGGTGTTCATTGTCATGTTTCCTCCAAGTCATGGGGGACAGAGAATGAGAAAGACATCCTTGCATTCTGAGGAGGGCGAGTCAGCTAAAGGAAGGAAGGATGGATGGATGGACAATGCAAGTGGGGAGGAAGGAATGGACACACACAGAGAAAGTGCTGGGGTGACGCTACTATGTTATTCTCTCCCATTTTGCTAATATGTTCTCTGGCAAATAGAAATGAAAGACTTGCAGTTTTTAACCGAAACAAAAGAAATAATATATCCGAGAGAATCACGCCCTCCACCAGTGAATTTGTTTGGCTGAGGTATTCCACAGAACTGAAGAAAAGGAATCACTGGAACAAAAGAATGACACACTGTTAGTTCCTGAATTGCTGGCTGGCAAACTAACAAAAGAACTGTGGTAGCAGCATTTAGCTGTAGTCCCTGGAAAACAAAGGTTGTTCAGTACTGCAGGTCTCATAGGTCCCCATGCTAACTTTGCACAAGCTTGGAGCACATTGACAAAAATGTGGGAAAGTCTATAGGATTGGACTAGTCTGATTCACATTTCTTTCAGTGTTCATGACATACAGGAAAATCAGCCTGGTGTTTGCACCACCACCACCCAATCCATAGTTTTTTCCTCTGCCATTGGGACATCTACTTTATTCCACAGTGGATCCAATCCATTCACATTGAAATGGTGTAATCATTGGAACAAAAAAAAAGTCTTTCAAGACTGAAGGATGCCTATCTATGTAGGGAAAATTGTGGAGGAAGCAAGATAGATAGATAGATAGATAGATAGATAGATAGATAGATAGATAGATAGATAGATAGATAGATAGATAGATAGATAGATAGATAGATAGATAGATAGATAGATAGATAGTAGATAGATAGATAGATAGATAGATAGATAGATAGATAGATAGATAGATAGATAGATAGATAGATAGATAGAGACAGACAGATAGACAGATAGACAGACAAACAAAAATTCTTAACAACAACAGCAAAAGATGTCTGAGAAATGACAGAGGATTTCTTTTTCTCCTGGAGTAATTCAGTGGGAATCCCCTGGACAATGTCTCTGGCGCCACACACAGTACAGAATTTCAACTGGCCATCTGTGCACAGCTATTGCTTGCATTGAGCGGTAAGTCGAAGTCTCTGACTTTGACACTCTCTGCCCCGCTGTAGGCTGATCCTGGTAGCCAGCTGCCTACTTGCAGGGCAGTACAGTAGCTCCCATTGTGGAGACTCAATGTATCTCTTCTAAAGAACAGACAGATCTGGGATGTAGGCTTACCATTGGCAGCCATTCAGCTGTTAGCAGTGAGGTTGGCACTAAAGCCAGGATCGGATGAGAGCCCAGCCATCCACACACACCCCCCCTTACCTAGACACACAATCTTGGCCTTTCACTGCAGGAGTTTCCCAGAGTTTGGAGCCAAAGCAAACACGGTGAAAAAAAAAAGGAAAAAAGAAAACAACGAGAAGAAAATATTGCGGCACCTTAAAGACTAGCACTGGTTTGTCCGCGGGACCTCTTTGGAATCAAAGCCCACTTTGATCCAGCAAAGTTCACGCGGAAATAAAATTACCAGGCTTTAAATGGCTGCAACATTTTTGCCGGCCACAGAGGCTGGTGAAACGTTAGGAAGAAAAACCTTAAGAACAGGGCCAAACAGCCCGGAAAACCCACATCAACCATCAGATCCCGGCCGTGAAAGCCTTCGAGAATACATTTTGGCTTTTCCTTCTTCTGCCACCGTGCTGAGACGGAACGCTCCGGAAACTACTTTGGATAAAAAGTTTTTTTTTAAAAGGCAAACCTTTCCCATGTGCTACTGAATGGCTTTTTGTTTTCTTTGTATAGCTAGATACCCATAAAAGTGAGCAAACAATTTCGTATATATTTTGATGACGACGACAAAATGCTTGCGTTTGCTGTATTGCTTTGTTTTATTCCTACAGGGCCCACACATTCCCAAGGCGCAGGGACTTTTCTTCCCTGATATCCCTCTCCGCTGCCTTCCATACATAGCCAGATCTCTCTTTATTTGCAGCCTCCGCCGTCCGCTACCGACCGAGAGACACCCCACTAGGGAATGGGGGGGGTGTACGCGTAGCGCAAAGCTACAGCTACAACGAACGGGGGGGAAGAGAGAAGGGAGAACAGCGGCAGCGAGCCCTGAAGCAGGCACAGCGGTCTACGCATGCGCCACAGGGATAGCTCCGGCAGGAAACGATCGAGCCGACGCATCCCGCTCGGGCTAAAAAGCATTGGCGGGCGAGCGTTCCACTGGGCGGGGCTTGTTGCCTGGGTGACGCTGGCGGCGGCGGTGGCGGCCTGCGAGCTGGTGTGTTGTGCTGGCAACTTGGAGCCTCGGAGTTGAGGGATGGTGATGGCGGCCGCTGAGGAAGGGGACGCGGCGGGGCCTGGCGCGGTGGAGCGAGGCCCCGGAGCGGCTTATCACATGTTCGTCCTGATGGAGGACCTGCTGGAGAAGCTGAAGCTGCTTAACTACGAGGAGGAGGCGGCGCTGAGGAGCCACAACATGAGGCCGCCCTCCAGGTGAGAGATAGAGAGGCTCTCCTCCCCACCACCACCACCACACGCGTCTTCCCTTCAGGGCCGGACGATATTTGGAAGCCGACTTTGCAAAATTAAAAAGCCTTCTGCCCCGTCCGGCACGGCCCGTGGTCGGAACACGCGGTTTTGGATGGTTCGAGATGCGAGTTCACACGTGCGTGTCGGGCTTTGGCTTAAAAGTTTTGGGCTTCCTCGGGTGCACGTGGGGACTTGGCCGCTGGCTGCGAGTTCTGGGCTGTACGGCCACGTGCATGGAGAACACGGTGCGCGGCAGAGCAAATTGCCTGGGATGGCCTGTTGGTGCCTACAAGTTGTTGGCGGCCTGGTTTTGTTAGATAAGGATGTGTGAACGAGCCCTTCTGTCTGCTGCAGACGGACAGAAAGTGGCTCACCTTGTATCTGACAAGTAATGTTAGTTGGAAAACGATGCTGTTTGGGGTTGCAGACTATGCCCATTTACTAGAGAGGAAGCTCATTGGACATGGTGGATCTTGCCCAGAATTTGTATTTACATTGTGTTTATGTCTTCTGTTTTTGTTCAATGCACATGTTTTTGTTTTCTTATTTAAAAGTGAATTTTCTGAAATTTTGTGGAACATGTACAGGATTATACTGTAGTAAGTGATGCTCTGGATATTTAAAATAGGTAGCCATGTTCCTTTTGGTATGTAGGACAAAGAACAAAAGTATTGACACCTTTAAAACTAACAGATTTTTATTTGGGCAAAAACTTTTGTGGACTACGAAGAAGTAGATTATAGTCCACAAAAGTATTAGTCTGTTAGTTTTAATAAGAGCACAGTACTTTGTTTTTGTTCTTTTGGCTTTTATGTGTTGAATATGAATGCATTCATTTAATAAAAGTCACCGTTTTAGTATGTGCAGTTGTAAAATATGGGGCATTTGATAACTTGCTAATCGCAAAGAAGCTTCTCTTTGGGTGCAGCTGTTCAGAAAAGTGTGTCATTTAGTACAGCAGGCTGATTTTCATCTGGTTAGTGCTGTCACAATTTTGTTAATGGTAAAATTAGGCCCATTTCTCAGCTTCATGATGAAAATTAATGATGGACATTTTTTAATAGCAATTGAGCATTTTTAGAAATGTTGGGATGCAGATGTAGCCTCCTTTTACTAGTTGTATCTATTAATGTATTGTGTAGTATCATGGATGTACATCAAAGAATGACTGCTTGTTAATTATGTTTTTTGCCTGTTTTTGTTATGTTTTTACACCCATGATGTACATCGCCTCCATTCTGTCTTTGATCTCTCCCTTTAGTTTTTTTTGTTTTGTTTAATGTTTTTCCCATTCTCCAAACATTGTATTGTATTGTATTGTCAGAAACAAGATGTTATCTGATCGAGGTTGTAATAATACATGATTTATTGTTTTACCCACCCATGGTCAGGGATCAAAGAATTGTAGGATACAAGTTAATCTGTTCTTTCTGTAGCTCTTTAACACACCATATGATTTAGTCCCCATACTGTACAGTATAAGTAATAGGAGACACTATGAAGAGACCACAAATATTGTTTCAGACTTTAAACAATGGATATACCAAGAACTGTAGCTTACTAAGTATTGATAAAGAGTATGCCAGGGAACGGATATGTTACTCCAGATTGTACTATGAATGGTTGAATTAGATGCAGAATACAAATCTAGTTTTTTTTTTTTATTAACCACTCTGTCTGGAGGCTGTTATAGAACTTTGAAACAGCATTCATATTTAAAGGATCTGTTTACTTCTTTAGCTGTAATCTTAACTTTTTCCATCTATTAAAACAGAATAATAATTAGTATACATTATGCTAATTAATCTAGTTTGTCAATACTGTTCATCTTATAACTCTAGCAAAGAGGCAGTAAGAATTCAATTTCGATGTGGCCAAAGGCTATCCGAAAACTTAATTTTTAATATCAGTCTTCTAGTTTAAAAGAAAGCATAGATCCCTGGCACTTTCATTTTTATTGAAAAATAAAAATTTCCTGGACCTCATATATGTGTACCAGTCTTGGTTGGAATGCCGTCTTATAAGGAGTAATTGTGTACCTCCGAGGAGACACACAGGAAATTGTATTGTCAAACCAAATGTTGTCTGATTGAGGTTTTATCTTCATCACCCCATTGCACATTTCAGTCATAATGCCTGTTATGGTCTTTTGACTTCCTCTTGCTATGCTTAGTCCTCTTTATTTTCTTCCTAATGTAGCCCGTACCAACAGTACAACCAGTGAATACCTTGTTTCCCTGAAAATAAGACCTAACCTGAAAATAAGCCCTAGTATGATTTTTCAAGATGCTCATAATATAAGCCCTACCTCCAAAATAAGCCCCATTTAAGTGAAACCCCGCTCTCCACCATTGTGCAGCAACCAGAAGAAAATGACATGACTGCATTTGAATAAATGTAGATTGTTGTACATGAAAAAAAAAACATCCCCTGAAATTAAGGCCTAATGCGTTTTTGGAGCAAAAATTAATATAAGATCCTATCTTATTTTTGGGGAAACATGGTACCATAGTGGATTGTGTATTATGTTAAGTAGCACTTTTGGTACTTTTTGTGAAAATCTGGCTGAACAACATGCATTGTCATGACTCAGTTTTGTGTGTTAGTTGTATGAAGAAAATTTTAGAAAAACATAAAATAGTATGTTTTAAGATATGGTTGTCTTGGTATAGTAAATCACTGCTGAGATATATGATTGCTTCATTAGGTTCACACCAACTTCTTTCTCTTCTGCTTGACTAGAGCTAGATCTTAGTTTTAAACTACAGTTTTAAGTGAACTAGGACATTGATTTAAGAGCATCTTGTAGGCATCAGATTACTGCTTCTGTTCTGTGAAATGGAAGTTTGCAACTTGACATTTTCCAATTTACAGAAAAGAAGACATGAGCCCAAGGAACTGATTTTCACCATTCATGTGTGAACAGTTTTTTCTTTTTGAGAAGGTCAGAACTATAATATTGGTGAACCACCAATCAGCAGTCCCCAGGTTGGCAACTTTATTTATGGTTTCACTATATTTTTTATAAAATTATAGCATTCAGCTGGGAAGTTTTTAAATAAAAGTTATCAGTTTTCTAAATGTTTATATTTAAAATTTCTACATTTTTTTCTATCAAAAGGTGCTATTCCTGTAGTATCTTTGAAACAATCTGCATGTTTGGCATCTTATAGAGAAACTGAAATAATAGCAGGGAGCAGTTGCAAGTGACAAATCATATTAAAGTAATACGGTAGCTACTAGTGAAGCACATAATAAGATAATTTTCAAAATCATGGTCCGAATCCTCTTCATGAGATATGTGTGTACTTACACTAAACTCTCTTAGTTACAAAATAAAGCCTGAAGTTCAGGTTGTTGCTGTTATTATATGCCATCAAGTTGGGTCCCACTTATGGTAACCCTACTGAATGAGCAATTTCCAAAATATCCTATCCTCAACAGCCCTGCTCAGCTTTTGTAGACTCAAGGCTATGCCTTCCTTTAGGGTAGGGGTGAGCAATTAATTTCTGTAGGGGGTCTCATGAAAAATCTGAACTGTGTTCGGAGGCCGAACCAACTTTACTTAAAAATAAAATGAAACAGTGATGTTATGATGGTTTTTATTTTAAACTTGTTAATCTTCACAAATACTAAAGAGGTTTTTTGCAGTATGTTAAAGATAAGCAACTGATCAACTTTAGGCAAAAAGCTATAAATGGTTTTGATGTTCAACTTGTTCAATGAGAGAAATCCAGTCTGTCTTGGGCTTGAACACTGGACTGGAGTGATGACCAGCCGGCCGGACAGGAGTGGCTTGCGGTCCGTATGTGGCCCTCAGGCCGCACTTTGCCCAAGTCTGCTTTAGGGAGTAAATCCATCTTGTATTGGTCCTTCCTCTTTTCCCACTGCCTTCAGCCTTTCCCAGTACTGTATTATTGTCTTTTCCAGAGAATCCTGCCTTGTCATGATGTGCCCAAAGTAGCCTCAATTTAAACATTTTTGCCTCCAGAGATAGTTCAGACTTAATTTGATCTAGGACCTACTTGTTCATCTTAATGGCAGTTCAGGGTATCCTTGGCTCTCCTTCAGTACCACATTTCAAATAAATTAGTAGCAAAAATTACTGTATGCAGTGTAAGGCTGTTGATGTTATCAGCTGCAGCAGTCTTTTTTTAAAATCTAAATTTCCAGATTCTCCCTGAAGATCCTGAGGCTCTCTTGGAGTCTCTTTAATTGTGGGGAAGCTGTTTGGGGTTGTGGGACGTGGTGGGGGGAGACTATTTCTGAAAATTATTGCCACTGGTAAATTAAAGACACACCTGTCTTGCAGTCCCAAATAACTTTCCCCACAGTGAAAGGGATCCCAAGGAAGCCTTGAGACCTTCAAGTGAGGGGATTGGAAATTTTTAATTAAAAAAAAAGCCCTGCCACTGCTGATGACATGAGCTTTATGTGATGTAATTACATTTGCTGGATTTCAGCCAAAAAGTTTTTTGAAAAGGGAGGGCAGGGAAATGGTGACAATTCTTTATAAAATGCATCTTTTGTCTAAGGAGACAAAAGACATGCCATATTTTTCCATTTATAAGATACCCCTGTTTATAACTTACCCCCCACTTTTCTAACCCGAAAATTAAGAAAACTTAGCTTTTAGTATTCAGCCTCTGGGCTCAGAACGCTGGGACATTAGGAGACCCTGTTGAACCTGAGCCTACAGGCTCCACCTCCAATTAGGTGTTTTCAATTGGTTTGTTCAGCATCAGCTGATGTCAGTTCCATAAGACTCATGATTGGAGGAAGCTGAGTCTCCTGACTGTAGGAAACTAAGCCTCCTGATTGGAGGCAGCCTGTTTACAGAGGCAGGTTATGGGCCGTTTTGTTCTCTCTGAGTTCTCAGCTTCTGTGTAAAAGACGCCCCTCAATTTTTAGTGTAATTATTTTAGGGGAAAAAAGTCTTATACACAGAAAGATATGGTAATTTTCTTGAGAAACAAGTGTCATTGTGAAGTTACCCTTATATGAGACTGACCAATAAACAGTGGTACCTCGAGTTAAGAACTTAATCCGTATTGGGACTGCTTTCTTAAGTTGAAACGTTCTTAAGTTGAAGCACCATTTCCCATAGGAATGCATTGAAAACCGATCAGTGCATTCCAAAGGAATTTAAAAGGCAAAAAGGCAGGGGAAAGGGGCTGGAAATTTGAATTTCCCACCCTTTCCCCCTGCCTTTTTGTCTCCGGAGGTCTCAAAGGGCTTTCCCCCCAATATCAGAGGAAGCCCCTTGAAACCTCTGAACAAAAAAAGGCAGAGGAAAAGAGCTGGAAATTTGAATTTCCTGCCTTTCCCCCCTGCCTTTTTGCCTTTGTATGTCTCAAAGGGCTTCCTCCAATGTCGGGGGGGGGGAGCCCTTTGAGACCTCCGAAGGCGCTGATCGCGGTGGCAGGGACCCCCAGAGAGATCTCCCATGGTGGCGGGCAAGCCCTGGGAGAACTCCCTGAGGGTCCCCGCCCTGGCAATCGGCGCCTTCAGAGGTCTTCAAGGAGAAGACCTCTTCAAGAATTTCCCACCCTTTCCCCCTGCCTTTATGCCTTTGGAGATCTCAAAGGGCTTTCTCCGATGTTGAGGGGAAAGCCCTTGGAGAGCTCCGGAGACAAAAAGGCAGGGGGAAACGGCTGGAAATTAGAATTTCCAGCCCTTTTCCCCTGCCTTTTTTCGTTTGTAATCAAGGCTCCGTTCACAAGTTGATGCCAATTTTTGCGAAAGGAGCCATTCGTAAGTCAAAATGTTCATAGATAGGGACGTTCGTAAGTCGAGGTCCCACTGTACATCAAGACTGTAGCGGGTTGCATTTGATTCTGAAGGTAGAACACAGGAAATTAATGTCTTTGCAAAAGTTGTTTTGCCTTTTTTTAAAATCTGTGTCAGAACTAGAATGGGAAAGTGTAGAATTTCCTTTTTAGAATTTTAATTCCATTTACAGTAGACCTCACATTATGTTATGGCTGTCTGTATCAGAAATTAAAAAGAAGAAATGTGCATGTCTGATAAGATCTTTAGAAAGTTACGTCTCAAGCAAGGTTTCCTCTAAGGCGTGTGTGTATCTGTAGCTCTACCTCCCTCTGAGCAGCCTGCCTTCTCCGTGCACCAACAGTGATCATTTTCAGCCCCTTTGTTTCTGGTTGTGATGGAACCCACTCCATAGCAGAGGGGGGAAGCGCGCATGTGCTGTTGAAGTTGTGCATGTGAGGGATAGAGCCCTGCCCAGTGGGGTTGAAAATTAGAAGGAACACTCTCAAGATAATCTAGCTAGCTGAGAACTAGGGATTTCTATTTAATGCATCTCGCAGTTTTCAGTTCCAATATAAGCCCAATGTATACCACTGAAAAATAAGCTGTTGATGTAGTAAATGTGTCAGGTACATGTATTTGAAATAATCTTTCAAACATTACATTTATTGTATGTATGTATGGCATTTTTGTTTCCCTACTGGTTTTCCTGATAGTCATTAATGGTTTCATATGTTTGTTTGAGTTAATATACTATCCCATCCTGAAGGCCTAGAGTAGGTATTATTTGATTTTAAAGCACTAAATTCCAATTGTCAGCTCTGCTCACCACTGATATTTAAACTGCATCCATATGACCTTAGTCCCCAATTAAACACTTTGAAAATGCTTGCCAGAGTTTTGAATATAGCATAGGAGAGTATCCTGCTAGGAGAGTATCCTGCTAGGGGAGTGCTTTTGGCAAGAAGTGCAAACCAGAGTGCATATAGTTAAGGAGAAGGTCTTTTACATTGTATTATCTCTCCTTCCAGTTGTTACGTTTCTTTGCATACATTCTGGTAAATAGATTTTGAGGATATGAAGCAATACACATTTATGTGGTGTTCTTTATTCTGTAAAAGGTCAAGCAGCAAAAAAGCAAAAAACAAACAAACCTATAACAGAATCAGAACTGTTTCAGGCTATCAAGTGTTCAGCCAGCAAACTCTTGAGAGTTACACTTAAAGCTTTTGATTCAAATTAATTTTCAGGAAGGTGTAAATCACAAAAGAAGGTACAGCCTGTTTGTGGCATAACGTTCTGAAATTACTGCAAAGAAAAGAGCACATCTATGGGGGAAATTGCCTGTCAGTGAAATATCAGACCTATAATGTCATCCTTGAAGAAGGCAATTTTGAGGGCAGAGAAGGTTATAGCAATACCAAAAAGTTATTTTGGCTGGTAGGACATTTCAGTACATGTAACCTAATCGCTATCCCTTCCTTTTGAAACAGGCACTACTTTGCATTGCCTATTAACCCTGGTGAGCAGTTCTACATGTTCTGCACCCTTGCTGCCTGGCTGATTAATAAAGCAGGGCATCCTTTTGAACAACCACAAGAATACGATGACCCAAATGCAACAATATCCAGCATACTCGCCGAGCTTCGGTCATTTGTAAGTGAATTGTTTAATTTCACATTTTTATAATAACTTTGTAGTTTGCATTTATGCTGGTTCTCTTTAATATATCTTTCAGCAGAGCTATATTAATTTAAGAAGGGATGGCTTTCTGTTGTACTTTTGTGTGTATTTGTTTGCTATTACAAATATCCAGAGCTATTTTGCTAAAAACATGACCCTTTTCTAAGGACAGGTTCCACATCTAATTTTGCAGTGTTTAGCATTAAGATCTTTATTCAAAAGGCCCTCTGTATCAAATATGTCCATATGTTACACATACGCTGTAGACAGGACTGAAAAGGGAGACACAAGTCTAAAAATAACAATTAGAATTTGCTGTCTGAAAATATTTCTTTGTGGATTAAACAGTGGACATGCTGCTGTCTTTGTTAAAACTGAGCATGGACATTTATAGCTGGCTTTGAGTAGGTCTCTGGCTGTGGAGCCAGAGATTAGGAATTTGATTCCCCATTTGTGCCTCCAGGGAAAAGAGCCACCTGTATGGACAAGCTGCACAGCTCCAGAGTAGCCACAGAAGAAGGGAATGGAAAACCACTTCTGAGTATTCTCTACCTAGAAAACCCTGGAAAGGGTTGCCAGGGTTGCCATAAGCCAGAACTGACTTGACAACACACAGTTATGGACATTTATGGGGAGAGGGAAGTAAAGTTTCATTACTAGGCTTATTCAAGCTGCAGGTTGCCAGTTTGCTGTGTCTGATTTGAGATGTGATCCTCAAAACATCTAAAGTTGCAATTCTTTGCATTTATCTGTTGATACATAAAAAGGCCCCATTATGATTAGACCAAAAACCTATCTAGTACATGTTTCTGTTCCCATAACAGCCAATCAGATGCTCAGGTGAGAAGCCTACAAGAAGGATATGTGTGTAGATGTACCTTCTCACTCTTGTGCCCTGGTAACATGTCATCAGAGGTATCCCGTCTCTGATACAGCTGCTAAAGAGTACTTTTGTGGATGGACTTGCTTGGAGCGGGGTTGTAACTGGGATGTACCATATCCAACTTTCGCCAAACTTGGAGAAGGTGGAGAGAAGAGTCAGGCCAGGAGTCAGACCAAATTTGGCGAAAATTTGATTTGAGACATCCGAGTTATAGCCCCCCCCCCAAAAAAGAAGGGAGCTGTTCCTGGAAGTCCCAAATTTCATAAATCACAAAACTTAGGCTACATAAACAAATACTGGAGGGAAATATTTTGGATTGTGATAGAGACTGGTTCACATTATTTTCTGTTGACTATATGACATGAAGGTCAATATGAATCAGCCTGGAATTCTGCTCTCCCACCCAATCCGTAGTTCTTTCCTCTGCCACTGAAGTTTATATCTTTTTTGAATTGAATGAATTTGCATTGGTTCCAGTGATATGATCACCATAGCCATTGTAGAAGGGGGTTATAACTTCTGTATTTACAGCCATTCTAGCTGGCTATAGCAACAATGAGAGAGGAAGTGTGGCAGGAAAAGTGGTTGCTATTTGAATCCGCTTCCCCCCACACAACACTTCTGTCTGCTTTCATCTTTCCTGCCTGCCTGCCTTCTTTCCTTCCAGGCTTGCTAATCTAGCACTATAGGATATCAAGCCTTTAAAAGAAACAGAATGGAAATGGAAGAAGGAAACAGGCAGACCCCAGGTGTGGAGAGAAGAGGATTCAAATGATTAACAAGCTGCAAACAAGGCTGATTTCCTCCCCTTTCCCTGCAGACTGTAGTATGGTTGGTGGAAGTGAATTGATCCAGAGAAACGTAGCTTCCTGGGTGCAACATCACAACAGATCCATTCCCATTTTTCTCCACTGTATAGTCTCACCCTTACCTGTGTGCTTTGTGACTAATCTTCCATTTCTCAAGTTTTTATGTGTTCCCAAATAATGAGAATAATTGTATTTTAAACTATTGAAGGTCTAGAGAATATAATGAAAGGAGAATGAAAGTAGGGAATGAAACTATTTTTAATATCAAATGGAAATGAAAACACAATATGATCGCTTATACAGGCACTGTGATGGTGCCACTTTTTTTCCTGGAAGCCTATATGTGTACATATCCTGTTGCAGTTTTCATCACTGGCAGTTTCCTTGTAAAATAGACCATAAACTACTGTACTACTTTTAAAGCAAGATGGAAGTGAAGGCTGGATTTTGTACTTCTTAATAGCTCTGTAGAAGTGGGAACTTTGGCAGGTGTAGTTTGTCATGTTACTCTGCTGCAGGGGTAAAGCAAAAATGACAAGGCCCTGTCATATGCTCCTTCCTGAACAAATGCTAGTCTGTCTGTATTGGAACAGGTGGGTGGATGAAACAGGAGCTGCTTCATAGAGGAATAATTAACTTCAGTTCATTTTACTGCTCCTGCTTATACACAGAAAGAGAGAGAGATTCTGAATGTAGTATCATAAGAATGAAAATTTATCAATTCTTATAAATGAAGTTAAGACAGATAGTACTTCATGTTTCAAGAGTCTCTATGGCCTGGTTTGTATATTACATCAAAACATAGGTAGTGAGAGTTATAGTTTAGAACTTAAATGATAGTTTGATCTTCCTAACAAAGAGCAGCAAAACCATGATTTGGAGCTGTTTGGCTTCCTTCACTTTCTGAATACAAAGTTCTTACTTTCCTTGCTGTTTTCATGATGAGAGCCTTCTAGAGTAGGAATGACCAAAGTGTGGCCCTCCAAATGTTATTAGATGGCATTTTGCAACATTCCTTAACATTGGCTATGTTAACCATGGCTTATGGAGGTTTCACTCCTAACAAATCTGAATGGCTGCACTTTGCCCATTCCTGCTCTAAATCAAGACTGACCGTCATAACTATGACCTTTCAATTCAGGAAACGTCACCCTGTCATAATATAACGTTTGCGAATCTGCTTCATTCCATGGTTTTGGGTTCTGGTTTGCAAGCTAGCCAAACATAGATAGATTCTTCTTTTCATTTTAATGTATTTTTAAACTCTAAACCTTGACACAGTGTATGGCCTGTGGACTACTAAACCTAAATAAACTTGAAACTTGACTGATTCTTCAGCTTTAATATGCCAAGTCATGGCTTTGTGTCACATATGAATTGTGATGATAGATACTGGGGAAATTATTGCACTTTAAAGGGTTTAAGAACACAAAGGTGAGATTGATTAAGCAGTAGTCTAAGTTGTGCGCTTTTTTTAATTTTTGGCAGTAAAGACCTTTAAAAACTATGATATGCCTTGGCTGTCAAATTCATATTTTGATGGTGCATGCAAGTAGAAAATTAGTGTGGAACATGAACATGATTCTCACTGGACTGTTTTGCATATGCATGCACATCTCTTGATTTGATATTTTCAGCTGATCTGGGAGGAATTAAGGCATAAATTGAGAAAAATGTGAGGAATAATCTCCAGGTAATGGATAGAGATATAATGGGGCAGTCATAAAAGGTGGTGTTGGGGAGCATTGTATTTTACACCATGGTCTTGAGCCTGTAGCACATTATCTACTATATTATTTAACATCTACATGAAGCCATTGAGATATATCTTTCAGAACTTTAGAATGAGGTGCCACCAATGTGCTGATGATGACACTTGGCTCTACTGCTAATTGTCCTCCAACACCAAAGTACCGGTCAGTCCTCTTGAATGTTGCCTGGCCTAAATAATAGGCTGGATGAGGGTAAACAAGCCAAAAGTAAATATATGCAAAATGGAGGTGCTTCTGGTCAATAGAAAGTCAGGTTTAGAAATCTGGATTCAACCTGTTGTAGAAAACATTATATTTCTTCTGATAGGTGATGTTCATAGTCTGGGAATGCTTCTTGACTGCATTGTTGCCGAATCTCCAGGTGGCAGCAGTGATGAGGAGTACCTTTGCACAGCTTCACAGTGCTCCAGCTTTCCTAAGTCAGCCTGATGTAGCAACACTCATCCATGCTCTAGTTACATTGCATCTTGACTACTGCAATGCACTCTACGTGGGGTTACCCTGAAGAGGGACTGAGGTCTCCAGCTTGTGCTACAAGTAGCAGCTACTGTATTTTTTGCTCCATAAGATGCACTCCCCCCCAATAGTGGGGGAGAAAGTATTGGGGGGGAGTGCATCTTATGGAATGAATACAGAAAAAAAGGGGTTCAACCACCACCACTCAGAAACCCCCTACTACCATGCTGGGAGGCCTCTGAACTAGCACCAGAGACTGCTTGCTATTTAAACCCCACCATTCTGCACTGCAGCTTTCCAGGATCTGTTTCCTGCAGCCCACCTGGAAAACCAGCAAGGCTAACAGGCCTATGGTAGCAGGCAGTGAAAATAGCCAAGGACCAAAGAGGAAAGAGTAATTCTAGAAAGAACAGGAGAAACCACAAACATAGTCCCCCACTTAGGCACTTGATTTCCCCACATTTGGGGAAATCACAGGGGTCAGCATATCTAAAGTGCAATAGATGAGCCTTACCCTGGGAAAACCACTTTTATAATAATGGTATCTCCTCTGCCATGTATAAATTAGAATGGCCCCTGGCCTCCTGCCCCTTTCTGTGCCTTGCCCTCCAAAGGTATGGTGACCCCCAGCTGCACCTCCTGCTTAGAATAGGGCTGCACAGCCCCAGTCCCAAAAGAGGCCAACAGAGCTCTTCAGTGTTTTGGGGTGCCCTGCAGGACCCCCATCAGGGGCTGGATTTTCCTCCCACAATCCTCCAGTGTACAGATATTAGCATATCTGCCTGCTTGCATCACCCAGTTGGCTTCTCTATTGGAGAAGCAAAGCAGGAAGGAGAAGTCTCTTTCCCTTCACCTTCTGTAGAGAAGTTAGACCATGTGACCAACCAGACATGTGGAGAACCAGAGAGAGAGAGAGAGGACAGAAACCAAAGCTTCTAAAATTGCCAGTAAGTTTAATAGGCCTGAGAATGGCGAGGGGAAGATAAAATTACTACTGAGAGCCTGCTGGATGGGGAAAAGGTGGCTAGATATAGCTGTCTGTAGTTCAGAGCTTGGTAGTAAGCTGCATCACTTCCCCATAAATTAAGCCTAAATAGAAGTAATTTTGCAGATATTTAAAACATTAAGGGACCTGGGGGGG